TGCCTGTGGCCGTGGCTCCTGCCACGTCTTGCTCATCCCCTGAACTGCTCCGACAAACCCTCCGAGGAGGCAGAGTTTCCAGGGACAAATGGATGGGCCTCCTGGTGGCAGCTTTGGCACAGTGGCGGCTCTCCGAGGCTGCAGCAAAATAAAGACCCAGAGCTGTGTCGCTGGAGCCACCCAGGTTCAAATCACTGACCTCACTGATGTGGTCTTCACTGTCACTTAATTCCCTGAGCCTCAGTTTCCCTATCTGGAAAATGGAGCTAACAGCAACCCACCAGGTTTGTTGTGAAGATTCAAGATGACAACGTACATAAAGGACCTTGTATGGAGTGTCACCTGGAGGACTGCTCAGTACACCTGGAGAGCTTGGAAGGTGACAACATCACCTCCACCTGCCCCTCTACTACGCCGCTCCCCCCGCCCCCAACTGAGGCAGGTGTCCTTGCTGATTATCATTGGGAAGAAGCTGAAACTTCCGAGCTGTCTGTTCCGCCCCCAGGATTTTCAAAGCAACCAGCCCCTTCTGGAGCAGGCTTTATCCCAGCTGTCTGTCTGAGCCCCACTCTCTCCTCGATGAATCACAGGCTCCCCCCAGCAGGTGGCCAGCCTCACGAGGGTTTACCTCATCCCTCCTCTGGGGACATCCAGGGAAGCAGGCAGGGCTGGGCTGAGTCTGCCCATTTGTCAGACCAAGAAGCTGATGCTGAGCAGGAGCGCGGACTTGGTCCAGGCCACCCGATGGCAAAGGGAGCCGGGAGGGAGGCCACAGGGAGGGAAGAGGGTGCCAAGTGCTGAGTCGGATTCAGAATCTCAGATGGTCGGAGCTGGAACATTCTGGGCCATGGAGTGCAGCACCCTCAACTGACAGCTAAGAAAACAGGAGCCCAGAGAGGGGGAAGATGCCTGAGGGCACGGAGCGAGTTAAGGGCAGGATCCAGCTGGATTCATTCATTCATTCATTCATTCTACCATCCATCCATCCAGTGAATGTGTGTTGAGAACCTTCTCAGGACCAGGCTGTGCAACATCCTGGGGATACGGTGGCAGACAAGACCCAGCCCCTACCCTTGAGGATCTCATGGTCCTAGGTGGGAGTCAGACCAGAAACCAGGCAAGAAAAACACACCCTGGCTGGGGGAGCCCTGAGAGCTGCTGCAGCGCATGGAAGGGAGGCGACATCTGCAAAGCGGGGGATGGCAGAGCCCTGTGAGGACCCCAGGAGAGAATGTTCTCCAGAGTGAGGCTTGCCCCCTAATCTGGCCCACTGTCAGGCCTCCCAGCCATGGGGAGGATGGGAAGGAGGTGCTTCTCTGAGCTGGACTTTTCACACAGCTCTGAGGGGCCCGTGCCACAGGACATCAGTCAGATCTGATCTGACCCTCGCCCCAGTTTACACATGGGGAAACTGAGGCCCATCCACCAAGGGCTCTGCTGGGGTTAGTACACTGTCCCCAAGCTCCCTTCTTCTCCTTGCCTTCCTGCCTCTGCTTGTGGCATAAAAGAAACCACTGCCCCTGCATAAGCCACTCCCTCCCACTGTGGTCTGAGCCCTCACTGGCCTCACTTAGGGGTCTCTCCAGGACCACCTGATGGGGCTCGGCTCGGCCCTGTCTGCTAAGATGCCCTGAATGTGGCTCAGGCCTCCAGAACATTAGTGTCAGCGGCTGGGGATGTGGCCAAGCTCCTTTCAGCCCATGGGCACCTGGTGAATGGAATCAGGGCTCAGGATATCCACCAAATGGAAGAGAGATGTCGCTCAGCCTGAAGCAGGGAGGGGAGCCCCGAGCCCCACCCCCAGCTCTGTCTCTCCCAGCTCTGTCCACACTGAGGCTCCTGAGCCCCCCGAGGAGCTCAGCTCGCCAACCCCTGACCAAAAGCATCACCCTCATTGGAAGTGTCGGAGAACCCTCTGAAGTTTCTCTAGCCCCCGTGCCTTTGCAGCTGCTGTTCCCTCTGCCTGGAATGCTCTTCCTCCCCTTTTTGCCAGGGCCAACTGAATTTGTTCACTCACTCATTCAACAAGTATTTGTTGGACACGTCCTACACTCCGGGCAGAGAGCTATGCTCTGGGGACAACCGCTGTCAGGGAGCTTAGAGATTGGGGGGATACAGAAGTTAAACACATACACGTACAATAACGTGTGGTGCAAATAGGAACAGGTCCTGTAAAGGAAAAGAGAGACTAAGAGAGTGGGATCTCATTTGACGGATTGGGGGAACATGGTCTAGGAAGGCTTCTCTGAGGAGGTGACTTTTTAGTTGAGATCAGGAGAAGGAGGAGGAGTTAGTTCAGTGAAGAGGAAGAGGAAGAGTGTTCCAGGCAAAGGAAACAGCATGTGCAAAGGCCCTGGGATGATACCTAGTTGGGAGAGTGTGAGGAAGGTCAGATCACTATGGCTGGAACCTAGAGAGTGAGGGGTGAGAGAGAAAGAGTCAGATCATGCAGGGTGGCAGAAGCAGCAGACTTTCATGAAGAGACCATGTGGGCAGCAGGGAGAGGGAGGGGGGAAGGAGAAGAAGTCAGAGAAAGAGACTGAGAACAGGTAGGAGAAAACCAGGAGAGTGGCCTATGCCAGAAGCCACATGAAGAAAGTGTTTCAAGAAGGAGTCATCGACTATCTTCAGTGGAGGAGTCGCCTCCTCCAGGAAGCCTTCCTGGACTCCACATGTCGGGTTAGAGGTTCCACACTGCCTTGGCCTCCCCCATCGGAGGGCTCATGTCTCTCCCAGACTATCCTGGGAACATCACAAAGGTTTGACTTGTCTCTCCAACCCCAAAACTTAGTGCAGGACCTGGAAGTAGTATCTGTGAAATGAAGGAATGTAGACCCAGGGCCCAGAGAGGAAGTGACTCTGAGGCCACAGTTTTCCTTCACTGCCCTGGCCTGGGATGGCCCCTTCAGCTTCGGATCTCTGAAGCAGGCTGAAGCCAGACCCCTTCCGGTTGGACTTGGGGCTCCTCCCCTCCGTTCCTGCCTGACCCCTTCCCGAGGCCCCGTCTGACCCCTTGCCTCTTCCTCTTGGATCCTGGGCATCTCACTGCCCCACCAGCTTCCAGAAGATCAGCAACAGGTGAAGACCCCTTGTGCGTGGACCCACAATAGAGTGTAAGCAGCCCCAGTGTCCAGGGGCCCCAGGCTTGCTCTGCCCAGAGGCTGCCACTAGCAAACCAGAGGACAGCAGGTTGGGGCTGTGGGTTCCTGAGACCCCATTGGGTTCTAGGGGGGGCGATGGCGCTCCGGGGCTTTTGGAACCGTGCTTGGCCATGGGTTGGTCTCCCCAGACAAGGGTCTGTGCCCTCCGTGGGGGAGCATCCAGGCATCCTCATGCCAAGCTTCAGGTGAACACAGGCAGGCAGGCCTGTCACACACCCAGACTGTCTGCCCCCAGCCTCCCCCAAGGAGCTCATCGCTCTGAATCCGGTCTCATATCATTCGTCTGTCTCCCATTCGAGTCTGGGCGCTCTTCCAGGGCGGGAGCCTGTTTCTCTCTCTCCCTTCTTCCCTCCCTCCCTCTCTTTCTCTCTTTCCTGCCTCTATTCACTAAGCACAAACTATTCTTGAAGCTTGAGCTCTTCCTGCACCGCTGGTGAGGCTGCTGACACAGAGCCTGGCAAATGGGGGGCCGCTCAGCGTGTATCCACCGGCAGCGAGACTGCCCATGGAGGCCAGGTCCACGGACTGGGCCGTGCCAAGCTCCCCTGAGAATCGCAGCTCCAAAAGCGGCAGAGGGCCCTTCTCCCTGGGAAGAGCTGAGCTCCTGCAGGAGGAAGGATATCTGGCCTTGAATCTGTGCCCGGCCGCCAGGCCTGGCTGGGGTGGGGTGCAGGGTCCAGAGGGGAGAGAAGAACTCAGCTTTCTCAGCAGGGACCTGGTCCCCCCGAAGGCCGATCTAAGCTGGGGTGAGGCTGCTCCTGAACCGGGCCTCCTCTCGAAGGCCAACATGGCCCTCTCCGTACTGAGCCCTAAAACCTGCTGCCCCCACGCCCTGCCTCAGTCCCCCAGCCACGCTCCTGACCCTGCTTCCCTCCTTTGCCCGTTGCCCAGAGACAGCCAGAGTGCGCTGGGCATCCTAGCCGAAGGCGCAGCAGCCTGGCCAGGCTGTGTGGTCGGGGTCTTAGTGACCTGCACCCCTGGAGCCCCCAGCCTACAGAAACTGCCCCAGCCGAGCCATTCCGAGTCTTACAAATCCCTGCCCCGGGGCTCTTGGCAAGGGCTCTGTGCCAAACAACTTTTCCCCAACAGTCTGCCCAGGCCTCCCTGGGAGGCTGCGGCAGGGGCAGCTCCCCGGTGGCAGCCCCTGGGGCCCTGGCTTTAATTACAGGGTGCGTTCCTGTTGCCTGGTCCATCTGTATTTATCTACAGCATCTCGCTAATTAAATTCCCCACAGCACCCGGCAGGCCTGGGGACCGCGCGCGTGAGGCAGGCAGGCAGGGGGGCTGCAAACTTCCTTCCCTTCCTTCTTGGCCAAGAGCAAAGCAGAAGCAGATGAAACTCTCTCTTCCTCCTCCCCGACCCCAGCAATGCCCAGAGGCCGGGGGGGCTGCCAGGAGGCTCTGCTGAGGACCCTTCAGCCCTGTGCCCTGTAACCCTGGGCACCCATGCCCACCCACGGGTCCCAAGACGAGACAGTGCCCAGCTGCCTGACCGCCTCCCCCATTCAACTCAGATTCCTGCAGCAAACAGAGAAAAGTCTGCCTGAGCAGCAGCTGGATCCCCAACTCTGCCACTTTACAGGCTCCCGTCTTACCGTAGGAGTCGTCCTGGTCCAGGAGAGAGTCGGGCTCCATGGCGTACGGGCCCCCAGCCCCTGGCCCCACCTGATTTATGAACTGAGGCTGTCTCCATGAGCGTCTGGGTTTCTCCTTTTGTATTCCATCTGGCGGCTTTTCCAACTAGATGACTGGGTATTCCGGCAAGCAGGCCCCTTTCCAGCCCTTGCCTTCATACAGTACATTTAAAGTAGCAGTAACCTCTTTTTCCTCCCCCCACAGCCTGGCTGGAAACATTAGAAGGGACCGAGGCAGCGAGATGTCTAAAATAGGAAGACGACGGGGACGATTGGCCTGGCTGGCCGCGACGCTGGCTGTGGGGATCTGGCCGGCTGTGCAGACGGAAAAGCTAAGAGGTAAGGCTGAGTAGGGGCTTAGCATCTGGAAGCTGGCTCTGGGGCCCTGGGGTCTATGGGAAGGGGGGAGGCTGACCCACCCGTAGGAGGGGATGGGGGATCCGCTGTGCTCACCACCAGCGCCCAAACCCCAGGGGCTTCTCCCAGGCCCTGCTGGAACCTCCCACTCAAATCTGTTCTACAGACATTGCCTGCAATGTGGGAGATGCAGAAATTGACTCATCCATCCATTCAGTTAGTCACTAAATTTTTTTTGAGCATCTACTCGGCGCCAGACACAGTGCCAGGCACTGGGTTTGCAGCAGGGAGCAAGGCGCAGCGTCTGGCCTCCCCGGACGCACAGGTAAACAGGTCAGCGCAATGCAGTGTGTGGGGCAAGGGCTGCAGGAGCATAAAGGAGGGATGCCTCACCTGGCTGGGGGAGAAGGTCAGGGAAGGCTTCCTGGAGGAATGGGCACCTAAGCTGGAGCCTAAAGGATGAGTAGGAGTTAGCCAGGAGAAGAAGGAGGGAGCGAGGGGGAAAGGTGTTCCAGGTGCAGGGAGTGGCCTGTGCAAAAGCCTTGAAATGAGAAGTCACTTGGGGTGTTCAGTGCCCCCAAAACAGTTCCAGGTGGTTGGAGCAGTGGATGAGGGGGAGGTGGTGCAGAGAGAGGGGATGGAGGAGGGGAGCAGGGGACAGGCATGTAGGGCCTCACAGAAGATGGCCTCAGGTCCCATGACAAAAGCATGGAGGCAGGAAGGTAACACGCAATAGGGAGCGAGAAGTGACTGGGAGAACGTCAGGGGAGATCTCGGGTTGGGGTGGAATGAGAAGGACCTGGGATGACAGCCTGGGAGGGCAGAAAGCTTTCTCCTGCTGTAAGAGAGGGTAGGCGCTGGGGCAGGACAGGAGTGGGGAGGCTGTCAAGTCACCAGGGGAGAGGGAGAAGTGGCCTCTACAGAAACAGCCATAATAACACTGGGTACCACTCATTAAGCAGCCCCCAGGGCTGGGCTCTGTTCTGAGCCTTTGTCCAGGTTGTCCCATGCAACTCTCGGTGATCCCTCTGCTGGAAACTCCAGTTCCCTTATTTTACAGATTAGGACAATCAGCTTAAGAGGTGAAGTGACTTGTCCAAGGCTTATGAGTAGCCTCCAGGGCAGGCCTAGACCCCAGAGAGGTCACAGCCTTGGTACTGGGGGACAGGGGGAGGACAAAGATGCTGTCATTCAATCTACATTAGACCCAGAATACAGAGCCCTAGGCTTGTGGGAGAAGGAATGTATCATTTGGACCAATCAGCGAAGACTGCCTGGATGAGGAGGCATGTGAACTGGGCAGAGAGAGAAGGATTTGGACAGGCTGAGCAGGAGAAGGTAAGGCATTCCAGCCAGAGGGAATGGCCCAAGCAAAGGCATGGAGGCAGGAAGGTAACACGCAATAGGGAGCGAGAAGTGACTGGGAGAACGTCAGGGGAGATCTCAGGTTGGGGTGGAATGAGAAGGACCTGGGATGATAGCCTGGGAGGGCAGGCTTGGTCCAGGGGTGACAGGCAGCCTCTGAAGGCATTTGTTCCAGAGAATGGGCCGCTTTCCACTGGATGCCTGGGAATCCCGCGGGCGGCCCCTGCCCAGTCTTCTCTTTCATGCCCTGCACTTACAGCAGGAGAAAGCTTTCTGCCCCACAGCACTGCTGGGACGTTGGAAGCCAAGCCTCAGTGACCAGCTTTTTGGAGACATGGCTCTGGTGCTGAGGCAGAAGGGACATCAAAAGGAGGGAGATGGGAGATAGGGAGACAAGCCTGGAGGCAGGCAGGAAGCCCAGGCCAGGGGTGGCGGGGAGGGAAATACCCACCTGGGTCCCTCCCAGCCCCCCACTGCTGCCCAGCTGCTCCCAGAGCAGCCAGTGGCTGCTGACGTGGTTGGCCCGGGCTCGGGGAAGTTACTTCTGTCACCCTTCACCCCTCCCTCCAACCCTGGATGACAGAGATCCCAGCTCCCAACCTCCCGCTGCCTTAATTACAGAGAGGCCAGGCCCTCCCCAGCAGCTGCAGGCACCAGGCTCCCTGGCTCTCCCACTCAGGGGGCCCGGGTTGGGTGGGCTGGCACAGGCTGAGGCGGGGGAGGGAGTGGGGGGTCGGGCCCTCGGACCACCAGCCCATAGGTGATTTCAGGTCCAATGCTGCCCCCAGCTCTTGGGGGTTCTGGGGGCCCATTTGCGCATCTGTGGTCTCTTTCCAGCTAGCGTGTGGTAGTGAAGAGGACGTGGTTGAAGTCGACCACCTGGGTTCCTACCCAGACTGCGACTTCCTGGCTGGGTGACAGAGCTGGTCCCTCCACCCCTGGGGTCTCATTGGTAGAAGGGGTTCCTCACAGCCCTTCCTCACAGGGTGGTTGTGCCGATTAGACGGGATAAGGTGCAGCAAAGCCTTGGGGCCGGCTCTGCAGGCTGTGTCTTAAACCCTCCGTCAAGGGTAATGCTCATCCTGACCCTAACGGTTATCGTCTCTAAGCGAGCTAAGGGAGGTGGGAAGAGATGGGCCCATTTTACAGTTGAGGAAGCTGCGGCTCGGAAAGAAGGGACTTGCCTTGAGGCTCTCACGGTGAGGCTCACGATGCCCCCCTCACCAGGCTGTGCCCCCAGAACCAGCTGAGAGTGGGCGGTGGGGCTTGATGGGAGGGGGACCTGGGCCCCAGTGTGGCTGTGCCTGCCTGTGGGAGCCAAGGCCTGGGGCTTCCTTCCCCAAGCCTCGCTTCTCACAGGTCAAGGTCAGAGCTGGATTAGCCGGGCAGCTCCCACCCTCCCCGCCCATCGCCCTCTTTTTATGAATTAGACGTGTTTAAGAGCTTCCAGAGCTCTGAGCCTCCAGGAATTCATTCACCATAAATCTGTCTTAAGCACTGGGCTCTGCTTCCTTCCCCCGGTGACACGACAGTGTAAACAGCCCGTCTCCTGTTTAGTGGCTGTGTGACGTTCCACCCTTCGGCTGTGCTGTACCTAATTTGAGCTGTTGCCCTAGACACCTAGGTTGTTGCCAGTTGTTCACGACCACAAGCAACACTGTGACATGCATCTCAAATACTCTGTGCATATCTGTCTCATGACCTCCCAGGGTAAAAGCAAGGATGTGAAATCGCTCGGTCAGAAAGGGCCGGCATTTGTACATTCCCTGTGAGGCAGTGATGGCCATTCAAGGCCCATCTCGTTCTTCAGCTCCTTTCGCAACAGTATGAAGCGCTGATTTTGTGCCCAGCCCTGTGCTGGCGGCTGGGATGACGCTGTCCTGCTCTGGTGGCATTTACATTCTACCTGGGGGCGGGCGCACACACCGGCGGACGGAGAGGAGGGCCAGTAGGAGAGCAAAAGCCGGGCCACATGCAGAGCCTGAGAGGGCACTGCTGCTTGCGGTCAGGTGGTCAGGGGACACCCCTCTGAGGGGGTGACATCTGAACAGTGACCTGACTGGCAGGCTCTGGGGAGAGCAACCAGGAGTGGGCAGAGCTACCAAAAAAGCCCGAGGTGGGAGTGAGCTTGGTGAGCAGGGGGTCAGAACGACGGCCAGTGCCACTGAGGCTGAGCAGACCGGCAGGAGAATAGTCCGAGAGAAGGGAAAGGCCACAGAGGCCACTTCATGGAGGGCCTTGTGGGCCAGGGGAGTGTGGGAGCCACTGCAGATTGAAGCAGGAGAGTGACAAGAAAGGCTGCTGTGTGCAGAGTGGCTCCAGGAGGGGCCAGAGCGGACTCAGGGAGGCCAGATAAGACACGGCTGGGGTCTGAGGCAAAAGATGCTGGGACTCCACCAGGGCGGTCTGGGGTGACTCTGAGCCTTTTGGCCTGAGTGACCAGTTGGTTTACAGAGCCGTAGGAGGCCCGGGAGGGGAGAGTTTGAGGATGGGGATCTCGAGCTTAGTGGTGGGAAATTCAGACAGACACATGGAGATGTCGAGGGGGCCCCTTCTGGCTGCAGGATGGGAGCTCAGAGGAGCGGTGGGGCTGGTGGGTCCAGATCTGGGAGCCGAAGCTCCCGACGCAGCCCAGCCCACCAGCCCACAGCACTGCCCTTTTCCCGCAGCAGCACAAACCCTCCCGTTCCACCCCGCTGGCCTCATTTTTTCTCGTTTTTCTTTGAACTGCCCCGCATACTCTCACTGCAGGGCCTGAACGCTTCCTCTCCATGGAATGAATTCCCCGGATCCTCACGCCTCTCCGTGTTCAAGTCTCTGGTCAAACGCCACCTCCTTGAAAGCCTTCCCTAGCCCCCCTTTCTAAGATATCGTGCCCCCTGCCCTCCCGTCACTCTCTAGCCCCCCTGCCCCCAGCTTGAGCTTTCTTCCTGGCACTACGGGTACCATTTGATTATACTATGTATTTATTTGCATATCATCCGCCAGCCCCTGCTCTCACTCAAGCTGCATGCTGTACCCTAGCACCCAGAGCAGTGCCCAGCAGAAGGGAAATCTTTGTGGAAGGGCTAAGTGTTAGCTGTAATTGTTATTTGTTCCTCACTGTCTCCTGCCTTGATTTAACAGCACACGGTCCAGGAGCCCTCACTGAGTACCTGGCCATCTCGCATGCAAATGCTCCTGTCTGTATCTCTCCCTGCATCTTAATGCATATCTGGTTGGACCGGGTCCTCCCTTCTAGTTAAGGGCTGGGACTCCAGGGTCAGAATGGGAGAAGGAGACCAAGGGGTCTTCTACTTGGGGGCGCCGTGCGGTGAGCCTGTATTCTCCGTGCACCTCACATCAACTTTCCAGAATAGGTTTTCTGAGTCCCACTTCACAGGTGGAAACCCAAGAGGCTATACGGAGTCCCTGAGAAGTGACAGAGCTGGGATTTGAGACTGTGTCTTCCCGACTGGAGGGCCCTGCTGGCCCCCTTGTAGCACCCAGCGGTGCCTCCTCACCCAAAACGAAAAGAGTATGTCTGGGTGGAGGTGGCAAGCAGGCTCAGAGGTGGGACAGGGCCAGCCTTTGGTCTGCTCCCAGGTAACCCTACATTACATCCTGGGCCGCTCCAA